AAAAATGCGTATCAAATAAATCGAGTTAAATTTGTCATTTGACAAAATGACGCCAGATTAAATTATTGATCATTTTCAAATAAAAATCAATAGCACCTTGTTCATACTGGAACATAATTGTACAGTCAAAGGGTGTGGGTTAGGCCTTTTGTTTTGAAAACTATAATGGCCCGTTATGAAGACCAGTTATCGAGATTAGAAATATATTATTATTTGGGAATGGATCAATCGATTCAGAGGAGATAACGAACACCTGAGAAACAAAATTAAATTACGTTCTATGAAGAAAAAAATATTTTGTCGAAGCTTTAACAGATGCATTCGTCTTTATAAATTGTACTTCTAATGGTGGAGATTAGAGTTCCCTATAAATAGACAATCTATTCACTTTTCTATATTGCATGCCGTCAAAAACAACGATCATCGATACAATGAAGTTGTCTACAACTACAGGTAATTGTGTAAAATAACATATATGTAATAGATGCTTCTCATTATGAAAATGATTTCTTTCATACAATAATGAATTAGTCCTGACAAATGTTCTTTTATTGCTCTTGATTAATCATGGTAGGACAAGTATAAAAATACATGTACTCGATAATATTTGTGTTTGTTTTTATTCATTAGCATCGGCACAATCGTATCAAAAATCGATTAATTGGGACAATCGTGCTCATCAACAATCATATACGGATGCCATGGCTAGATCAGATTTCGGCTCGGTCACTGGATGGAATAATAATCGTGCCATGACATCAAGTGGCACGCTACGTATAACAGTCGAGAAAAATGCTCTGTCCGGAGCAGGAGGGCTCATATCAAATACCAGAATTCCAGAAGGTTCTGCTTATGAATTAGATTTCGATGTTAGATTTCACAGTCAATTTGAATGGAGCCGTGGTGGAAAGGTTGGCTTCGGTTTTGGTATTGGAAATGGAAACACAGGATGCAATTTACCAACTGATGGAGCTGGTGGCACTCTTCGTTTAATGTGGTACCAAAATCCAAGTACAAATCGAGTCTATTTTCATCCATATATTTATCATGAAGGAATGCCAGGACCGTGCGGAAGCAATTTTGGCAAATCTTATCCATCGTCAGGTATGACTGCTCATTAGAGAAAAATCATTTGACTAAAAGTGATATCAAGCGTGAACTGATATTTCTCGAATATGTTTCTGATCGATTTCATAAAATTATTATTATAGAATATTATTGTTTGTTTTAGCTTTCTCTAACAAACATATTTTTCTTCAATTCAGGTAGTATTGAAAAAGGCAAATGGTACAAAGTTCATATGTATGTCAAATCAAATACTGGTAATAATGTTAATGGACGTGTACAAATTCTTATCAATGGTGAATCACTGATTGATCAAAGTATTCGTTGGACAACAAATGATAGCAAACGACTTATCAACAATTTATCCTTTCATACGTAAGTGGAACTATGTCTCTATTTTCATTTAAAATAGCTTACTATTTTTTCTCTCATAGATTTCGCGGTGGAAAAGCAGATGAATGGAAATCTGGTACTGATGGTTATATTTACTATGACAATCTGTATGTTCGACAAATTAGTGCATAAACAAGAAGTTGATCAATAGCATCCAAAAACTATCGAATAATAAACTGACTTCTTCTTTTTTTTTTCAACCTATATATTCTGAAAACACGTTGTACTCTTCTCTTGTTGGAATAATTTTCAACATATATCTCCTCTACCAATTATGTCTAAGTATATTTTCATTTATGTTAAAACCATAGACTTACATGAATTGGACTGAAATCTTTCAAGATATTACAGACCTTGAAATAAATTTTAAAAAAATAAAATGAATATATATGCATATGTATATCTTAGTAAATGTATCAAATTGTGGATCAATAGAGGACAAGATTTTCTTGCATTGTCAACATAAAAAAAAACTTCACAATGAATCTGCTTTGATTTATATCAACGTTATTTTGAAGTTTCTTTTTATTCAGAATATGCACTTATCACGACCGCTTCTCTTTTTTTTTTGCAAATGTTTAATTTAGATTCATATTTAAAACGCTCTTGAGTGTGTGTGGATATGCGCAGTTTTGATGCCTATTTGACGAAGAATTTATTTATTTTTCATTTAATTTTTCTGAAGAAAAATTCATGGAAAATCTTGAATAGAACAAGCGACCATTTTTAACATTGTTGTTTTTTAAATTAATCACTACATAATTTTGCATATATAATAAGACGATCATCTTCAGTATGCGATTAGATCCTAGATGACTCACATTTTCTTAGTAGATTCTGCTTCAGTTATGCACTTAATTAATTGGTTTCGAATGAATGAGTGCTATGCGATAGTTTAGGCATAAAAAAATTCTAAATTTTTTGTTAGAAATCTAATGAGATACTTTTCATTAGGAACAAGTTTCTGTAAATATGTGCTTTAGACCGAAAATGATTTGCTTGTGGTTCACTCTATAATTTTCACCGAAGTAGTTCTTGGCAGAATAACAAGAATATGTCGATTTCTCTAATAAGTTTTTAATAATTATATGTTTATTTTTCAGCTCTCGACAATAATATGCAAAAGCATTCTGAATTTATTTATTGCTTCAACATTTGATACAGATGTCGCTGATGAGAAGTGCATCTGCTAAGAATTGAAAGAAAGAAACATCTTTTTATCTTTCTGACTGATATACTGTCAGAAAGATTACTGTCGATTATGTCTATAGATTGTCCTTATTCATTCATTTTAGACTTTCTTCATGATTGTTTTCCTTTTATTATATTTTCTTATGCTTTTCAAAATGTCGCTATTCTCTCTTTCTCCTTCTTATATA